ATGCTGCGGGCCCACCGGGCCCTCCCCCCAGGGCAGAGCTGCCTGCGCCCCAATCTCGGGAGCCAGGTGAAAGAAGCAAGCGGGAGGGAGAGAAGAAGGGGGGGTAGGCCCGGCAGGAGGCAGCACCCCTGCGGGCCTCACCCCACACACACACACCCCCTGCAGGAGAGGGGGAGAGAGAAGGAAGAAGCGAGGGGCCAGGGCTGACGGTCACATACTCACGACAGGCCACAGGACAGAAGGGGCGGACAGGAGCACGCCCCCTCCCTGGAGAGGCCGGGGGACAGGACAGCGGACTGGATGGGGACCCACCCACCCCGGGGGAGGCATCGGTTCCCAGGGACTCAGGGGGCTGCAGGGCGGACCGGGGGAGGAAACACAACTTGGGGGTGGAGGAAGCCCAGGGCAGGGGCCGCCTACAGCTTGGCAGGTCCAGCTTCAGCTTGTAGGGCGGTGGGCTGTCCTCGGTTAGGCGTGTGGACGTCGGGAGGGTCAGGGGCCAGTCCGGCTTCCACAGGAAGCCCTTGTGCTGCTCCAGGGTCAGCGGCTGGGCCGCCTCGGCTTCTTCCTTCCTCTCCCCTCTGCAGGGGGTGTGTGTGGTGGGGGGGTGAGGCCGCAGGGGTGCTGCCTCCTGCGGGCATACCACCTTCTTCTCTCCCTCCCCCGCTCTTGCCTTCTTCACCTTGGCTCCGAGATTGGGGGGCGCAGGCCCAGTCCTGCCCTGGGGGAGGGGCCGTGGGCCGCAGGCATGGGGTGGGGAGGAATAAACCGAGTCCATGAGCGAGTCGTGAGGCCTCGGCCCTGCTTGCTGTCCCGCTGCCTGTCTGCCCCGTGGGGGGGCCGCGGCCTGAGCGCGGCCATTGAACCCCCGCCACCCGGCCGCGGGCCTTCCGGTCCACAGGGACGCCCCGGGAACCCTCCTGGTGGCACAAAGGAGCACAGGCCAGCGAGAGCCCGCTTTCGGCGCCGGCCCGTCACACTCCCCTCGGCTGCTAGGGGTGGCTCTGAAAGCCCATCCGGCTGGCCCTGAGGAGGGTATGTGTCCCCTTCCTGGGACCTTCTTCCTGGGTGTCCCCCTACCCTGTCACTGGTTGTAGCCACCCGGCTTCTCTTCAAACCCTTTCCTTTGGGGACAGAGCTTGGTCCCCTGGTGGGGGACAATCTCCAGGGCCACTGTCCCCTCGGCGGTGGCTGGGAGACCGCAGCCGCCGGGGCAGCTCCTGGTTCCCTGGGCCTTTTGCATTCAAGAGCACTGGGGCAGGCCGCCACTAACCCCGGAGGAGGGCCGCCACGCCTGGCGTCTCTGTCCTTCCGGGGCATTCCGACGATGATGCGTCCAGACGCTTTCATTACGGTCCCTCTCGGCTCCAGGGGACCGGGCAGCGCGGCAGCGGTCCTCTCTGGCCGGCAGCTGCAGATCCATCCCGGGCTGGCTCCGGCCTCCCCTCCTGAGCTTGGGGTCTCGGAATGTGGTCCCAGCCCCCAGACACAGATGGGGAGGTGTCTACGAGCTCCAGGCTGTGATGGGTGGGTGACCGGTGGGGGCAGGACGGTGAGTCAGAGGGAGCCCAGTGAGGCTGGGTATGGGACCCTCCTCCCTCAGCCCACCCTGTGTCCTGCAAGCTTTTTTTTTTTTTTAAGACTGAGTCTCACTCTGTTGCCCAGGCTAGAGTGAGTACCGTGGCGTCAGCCTCGCTCACAGCAACCTCAGACTCCTGGGCTCAAGCGATCCTCCTGCCTCAGCCTCCTCCCGAGTAGCTGGGATTGCAGGCATGCGCCACCATGCCCGGCTAATTTTTTCTATGTATTTTTGGTTGGCCAATTAATTTCTTTCTATTTATAGTAGAGACAGGGGTCTCAGCTCTTGCTCAGGCTGGTCTCTAACTCCTGACCTTGAGCGATCCTCCCGCCTCAGCCTGCCAGAGTGCTGGAGTGACAGGCGTGAGCCACCGCGCCCGGCCTGTCCTGGAGACTTGATCCACTGGAGTCAACCCAGGGGACCGATGGCGGGAGGAGGGAGGAGCTGGGGTCTGTCCCTGATGGCACCCATGGCAACCGCCCCTCACCCAAGACAGCAGCTCCCGCCAGGCAGCCCCCGCTGCTCCTCCACCTCCAGCACCCTCCCAGGCCCATTGGTTCCCCAAACCCTGGCCACACCCTTGAAAATAGCCCCCTTGTGACAACCTTCTGGAATTGCCCACTCTAAACAGCTCTCGCTTGCTGCCTGCCGTGGGCCACCTGGTACCCGAGCATGGAGCATCGAGACAGATTCAACACGGGCAGGACCAACACGGGCCCCAGGGGGAGGGCGTCCTTCCGGGCCTTGTGTGGGGTTTCAGGGCAGCCTCTGAGAGGTTCGCTCGCCCAGGAAATGAGACGTGGGCAGAGGCGGGAAGGGAGCAGCAGCCAAAGCCGCCTGGTAGAACTTTCTTTGATGGTGGGAATGTTCTATCCGCGCCACCCCCAGCCACAAACACTGGCAACGTGGCTACTGACCCTGAGGAACTGGATGTCTTTTTCATTTAGTTTGAGTTGGTGCACACTTTAGATTTTTTTCCCCCTATTTTTTTTTTTTGTTGTTGTTGTTGCGGTAAAAAAAAAAAAAATTGCATAAAATTTGCCATTTTAATGAGTTTTTTGTTTTTGTTATTAGAGATGGGGGTATCGGTCTGTTGCCCAGGCTGGAGTGCAGTGTCACGATCGTAGCTCACTGCAGCCTCCAACTCCTGGGCTCAAGCGATCCTCCTGCCTCAGCCTCCGGAGTAGCTGGGACTACAGGCATGCGCCACCACACCCGGCTCATTTTTTTCTATATATTTTTAGTTGGCCAATTAATTTCTTTCTAGTTTTTAGCAGAGACGGTGGGGGGGGGGTCTCATTGTTGCTCAGGCTGGTCTCCAACTCCTGACCTCGAGCGATCCTCCCGCCTTGGCCTCCCCGAGTGCTGGGATGACAGGTGCGCCCAGTCTCCTACCTCAATGCCTCCGGACACCTGAGCTGCATCTTGATGCTTCCCTGTCCTCACCTCCTTCCCCGGAGCAAGGCCTGCCCCTTGGGCCTGCAAAGCGTATCTGCGGCCCACGAGCTTCTCTGCGTCTCCATGGCAACCACCAAGGTCCAAGCTGTCACCGCCTCTCACCCAACAAGCGCTCCCACCTCCTCTCCAGCTGCGTGCAGGCGGATTCCCAGAGTAAAGGCCAAGCCCCCGATCCTGGATCCCAGACTCACCCCCGCCGGCCCCGCGCCAGGGGTTGTACCGTTGCCTTGAGGAGCCCTGCGGAAGCACGGCAGGAGCGTTAAGCCAAGGATAACATCTCCAACCACTTTGTTTGTCTTATTATCTGAGAGAATGTCTCACCGCCTGGGTGCCCAGGCTGAGTGGTTCTAGATGAATATAGCAGTGCAACTCCTGAGGCTCAAGCCGAGTCGCTGCGAGGCCTCCCGCGCGAGTGCGGGTAAGGCAGCGTGCCCGCGCGCGCCGACGGCGCGCGGCCCGGCTGATTATTTACGTTGATGTGTATTAGTAGCTTTGTGTTTTGTAGCGATGGTGCTCGCCATATTGCCCAGGCTGCGTGTGGAATTCCGTGGCCGCGCGAATTCCTGGCCCCAAGCGGGATCCTCCCGCCTCGGCCTCTCAGAGTGCTGAGATTACAGGCGTGAGCCTCCGTGCCCGGCCTCCAGCTACTACTACGGGGGCTCTGGCCCTCGCTCCTTCCCCTTCAGCCACACAGGGCTCTGTCTGCATTCCCTGAGCCTACGTTATTCCCTCCAGCCCAGGGCCTTTGCACGTGCACTCCCCTCTGCCTGGAGAACCGTCCCAGCCCTGGGCTCTGCCCAAGTTCTCAACTAGAAGGGCTCCTCGGCCTCCCCGGATTGGGCCAGTGCCCCCTGCGGTATCCAAGTGCAGCTCCCTGTCCCTCTTCCTGCGATTGCTACATTTAAAACGTATTAATAATTATTCGTTTCGGCATTGGCCTCCTTTAACTTTTTTTTTTTTTTTTTTTTTTTGAGACAGAGTCTCGCTTTGTTGCCCAGGCTAGAGTGAGTGCCGTGGCGTCAGCCTAGCTCACAGCAACCTCAAACTCCTGGGCTCAAGGGATCCTCCTGCCTCAGCCTCCCGAGTAGCTGGGACTACAGGCATGTGCCACCATGCCCGGCTAATTTTTTGTATATATTAGTTGGCCAATTAATTTCTTTCTATTTATAGTAGAGACGGGGTCTCGCTCTTGCTCAGGCTGGTTTCGAACTCCTGACCTCGAGCAATCCTCCCGCCTCGGCCTCCCAGAGTGCTAGGATTACAGGTGTGAGCCACCACGCCCCGCCTGATGTGTTGTTTTTTTTTTTTTCTTTAAACCGCATGTCGCCTCTCTCTCGGAAGGCCCTGAGCTTGCCTCTCCTTAGCTGT